ACTCAGTCATCTAGAAGAATATTATGGCTGGTCCCTGAAGGGGCTCCAGGAAACTTAAGAGCTACTGCTGCCCTGTTCCGTTATGGCTGCCATCTTGGGTTAAGGTAATGCCTTAGTAGGTCTTTTATAATGCATTGATTTTTAATTCGGGAATGTTAACATAATGGGTCACATGTGGGATTTCCTTTAGATATCAGGTGTTTCAGAAGGCCACATCTGTGTTGAGGTAAAAATCACACTCATTGGAACACTTGAGTACAATCGCTCCATGATCTTAATTACGAAAGCATCCACAGACAAAGCAAGAGTCTTGAGTGCTAGGACAACAGACAGTGGGGAGGGAACAAAAATAAGATTCTATTTCAGAATTATTTTCCATCGGTTTGGGCAACTGACTATATTCTTAGCAGCTTATAATGGTTTCGAGAAAGTTCAGAAAAGGGACCTTTCTCCTCCTAGACAGTACTTTACACGTCCTCCTTCTCTGGAGAGGGGAGGGCTGAGGAGTAGGAGCGGTACACTAAGACTCAAGCTTTGTGAAACTTCTCAACTTTGATGAATTGCATGGAGAGGGTATAACAATTTTAAATACACGTGCACCTAATAGACACTAACGCACATAAAAGGTCAGTAGGTTCTGATATACTAACAGTGGGTCATGTTCTCAACTCTAGGTAAGTCCTCTAAAATAAAAATCAAGGAAATCTCTGAGTTAAACCACACCACAGAGGAAATCACTTAATGGATAGGAAAAGGCTAGCCCATGGAAACGATATAGAAGACACACTCTCCTCAATAGCTCATGCACTGTCTCAAAAACAGACCACATTTTAAATCACAGATCATCAGAAAAAATGCCTGAATTTTATCAGATTATATTGCAATATAACTAGAATTCAATACACAATTCAAGTACACAAATACAAGCAGGCTGAGCAATATACTCTTGAACACTCAGGGGATTGTTGAAGAAACCACGATGAGCTTAAAGAGGAGGAAATGTAACCAGCACTTATGAGACACAGCCAAGAACAGCTAAAGCAGTTCTAAGAGTGTGTAACTGTGGGTGCCTGCAGTGAGAAGGCAGAAGAGTCACAGATAAAGACTCATGTTGTGCCCAGGAGTCTGAGAAAAACACTAACAATTCAAGCCTCAAAGCAGTAGGTGTCAAAAAATATGTATCAGAGCAGAAACTACCGTAAAAAGACACATACATACACACACACACACACACACAGAGAGAAAGAGAGAGAGAGAGAGAGAGAGAGAGAGAGAGAGAGAGAGAGCATCAAAGAGTTGATTCTGCAACAATAAATTCAGAGAGTGAAGTGGGAGATTCTAGTGAAATCCAAACGACCTTTAGAGAACATTTTGAAAACCTGCATTTGCATTTTTGCAATAGCAAGGAAATGGCACTATCCTAAATGCCCACCAACAGAGGGGTGGATAAGGAAATGTACTTACATAAAGTAATTTACATAGCTATAAAGAAAAATGAAACCATGACATCTGTAGGACTATAGATAGACTGTACCAAGTGAAGTAAGCCAAGGGCAGGAACCACTCCCTGGCACTATTAATGATACTCTGTTATGCTTGCAGACAGGAGCCTAGCATAGCTGTCCTCTGGGATGCTTCACCCAACAGCTGATCTAAACAGATGCCAATACCCACAGTCATTAGACAGAGCTCAAGGAGTCTTGTGGAAGACTTGGGGAAGGATTGAGGGACCTGAATAGGATAGGGACTCCACAGGAAGACCAAGAGAGTCAACTAACCTGTACCCTTGCAGGCTCTCAGAGACTGAACTATCAACCAAAGAACATTCCTAGGCCCGCCCACACATGTATAGCAGATGTACAGCTTGGTCTTCATGCTGGTCCCCCAACAACTAGAGCAGGGGCTGTCCCTGAGTCTATTGCCTGCCTATGGATTCGATCCCCCTAACTGGGCTGCCTTGTCTAGCCTCAGTGGGAGGTGACGTACCCAGTCCTAGAGTGACTTGATGTTCTAGAGTGGGTTGATACCCAGAGCCATCACCTCTACTGATTAGTGCCACAGTACTGGAAGGTACATTGTACACTAGCAGAGAAGAAAGATAAATAGCAGCCCTGCTACAAAGTGTCCAGTCCACGATGCCACAGAGACCCTGGCAGCATACATGGGGCCTGCACAGGTTTAAACCAGATCAAGTCCCAGCACTGAGATGTGGAAGTAGATGTTAGCTAACTCTTACTCCTAATACAATGCCTGCATGATACACTGGTGGAATCGTGTTTCAAAAGCTGTGTAACCAACCACTATCTAATTGGATTTAAGGCTCACCCAGTGAGATGGAACCCTTGCCTGACACTACTCACATGGCCAAGAACCTGAGACTAGATTGGCCCCAGACCTAGTGGAAAACCAAATATTGTCCTTCTGAAGAAATGTAGCAATAACTTTCTAACACCATTCTGCTATACTCATAGGTAAGTCCTCATGCAGCCGTCATCAGAGACGCTTTCTCCTGCAGTACGTTGTAATCAACACAGAGATCCCCAACTAGATAATACACAGAGTGAGAAACCTTGGTCCCAAGGTTTTTCCAAGTCAGTCCCAAATGGGATGTCTTCAACAAATCCCTTCTCTTAACACTTAGGGAACACTGAAGAAGAGGAGGCAGAAAGATTCTAAGAGCCATGGGGGATGGATAATACTGAGGAAACAGTGCCTTCCAGACACAGAAGGACTGATGCATATATGACCCCTCGGAGACCATGGCTACGTGCGTGGCACCTGTACAGGCCCAAACCAGATGGGTCCCAGCACTGAGATGTGGAAGGAGACACAAGCTCCTACTCCTAATTCTAAATCTATCTGCAATTAACAATCACTCACAGAGGAAAAATTAGTTTCTCCAAGGGAGTCTCATTCGGTACATAAGCCACGTACAAGAGCAGGCCCATGCCCAGAAATGGCCAGCGCAAAATGAACTAAAGGTAACTTTGGAGATTATTGCTTTGCCTCATATTGCTGTGTTTGGATATTTTTTTAAATCTTACTATTTTGCTTGTATATTGTGGTTTCCAATTTTGAATTTTTATGTTCGTGTATGTGTGTGTGTCTATGTGTGTGTGCATGTGTATATTTCTCATATTTTCTTTCTTTAGTTTATTCTTTGCATTTCATCCTGGTTTGCTTGTCTCTTTTATTTGCCTGCTTGTTTTCTTAAGAGAAAGAGAAAGAAAGCATGAAGTTGGAAGGATAAAGAGGTGGGGAGGAGATAAGGGAGAAAAAATTGTGATCAGAATATAGCGTATAAGGCTAGAGAGATGGCTCAGTGGTTGAGAGCACTGACTGCTCCAGAGATTCTGAGTTCAATTCCCAGCAACCACATGGTGGCTCACAACCATCTGTAATGGAATCCAGTGCCCTCTTCTGCTGTGTCTGAAGACAGCGACAGTGTACTTATATATGTATGAATAAATAAAATCTTTTTTTTAAAAAAAATGTAGTGTATAAAGATAACTCTACTTTCAATTAAAAATTAAATTAAAAATGAGGAAATTCTAGCATAAGACAAGGCATGGGAAACATTAATCATGCCATCATGTTATCAATCAGGTAATCTATTAGGGTAATCAAGTCATCTATTAGGGGATGACCACAATTTGGAGAAACAGATACCTAACAGGATATCTTCATTTACAGCCCTTTAAAGATACATTTATGAGAGTCAATTTTTCTATCTTTTTGAGATTGTTCAGTTAATGCATGAATAGTCCATGTTGTATTCCATTGCTTTGAAAGAAAAAAAAAGACTCTCCCCAGGCCTCTTCTTGATTTTAAGTAGCAGCCCTGACAATCTATTTTATTCAACACAGAATAAGAGCAGTGGTTGACTGCCCTAACTGCCTTTGTTCTACCTTGTTGGCCCCTTTTGCCCTATTTGAATAGCACTGTATCTCCTTCAGATTCCATTCTTAATGAGGTTATTTACCTTGCATACCCAATGAGATTGTACCTTATATAATAAATTCTCTGCTCTCAGGTATGTCTGAGGGGGCAGCCTATTCAGCTATTAAAAGGTATAACCTTTTACCTGAGATTGGTCTTAAGGCTGGACACAACTTCTATACTGAACTTCCAATTACTTAAAGATGTCACCATAGCCTACAGAGGTGTTTGTATTTACATACACTAGTGGATCGGCCTTGCAAACACCCACTAACTACAAAATGACTTTTAAAAGCTCATTTGCTACCACATGTATAAATGTTCTTGCTTATGTATGTTAATGAGATACACGTGTGCTAATGATGCAAGCTGGGCATTAAAGAATAATCATTTTAATGCATTAGCATTGCTATCAATTATGTGTGCTAATGAAATGCATGCAGCAACAATCCATTTGAACCGTAAATTTCCTTCCAGTCAGTAATTGTTCTTCCCCCTCCACCCAGCTATCTACCAAAAGTTGTAACGTTGACTACCTTAATTTCAACTTCTATTATTACCACAGTGGGAAATAACAAGCTGAGAAAGATCTGAAAGTCTAGAAGAAAACAAGGGATAACCCACCACTTTGACAATAAATTTAGCCTACCATCATTGATGAGGTGGTGGCTGAGACTTTTAGTAGTTGAAGAGGAATGGGGGAGGGGTCCTCAGGTACTTCTTGTGTCTACATTCCATTTGAATCATATACCATGAGCCATACCATTTGAAGATATTATTTAAATGTATTTTAAATAAACATGTCAAAAATAAGTATTTTAATTAAAAATTGTAATAAAACGTTTCCTCAAAATTCTGACTTTCTAACCTTTTGTTCTATTTTATTCTCTTTTCATTGAAACAAGTTCTCACCCTATAACCCAGGCTGGTTTATAACTCACAATGAAGCCAACATTGGCCTCAAATAAACTCAGAACAATCTTAATTCAGCCTTAGATAATGAAACTATAGGTGTGACCCACCATATCCATAGCCTTTTGTACATCTACCCTCCAACCCACCAGGGCAGTGTGTGAATGCAACCCCCCTACTACTATAAATTATGCAGTTGAATTTCCCACATTTGGGGAAATGGAGGAATCAGCATATCTGGGGTACAATGGATAAGCTTTGGCCTGGGTAAAATTATGTGATTATGGTGTCTCATCTGCCTTATAAATATACTTTTGCCTGTCTTAATTTCAGATTCTCATTACTATAATCAGTGTGTTTGATGGTGCTACACTAACCTAAAAAAGTTTCAGTCATCTCCAAGTATAATGCTGGTCAAATTGAGTAGCTACTGAAGAAGAATAGAACTTGGTCCTTATTTCTCACATTTCACAAAACTGACCTCCAAATGGACCAAGGACCTCAACATCATAAGATCTGATATCCAAATCTAACAATGGAGAAAGTAAAAAAATATGTTTGAATTTCCTGGCACAGAAAAAGATTTTCTGTCAGGACTTCAGTGGCACAGGAAGTAAGACCAACAGTTTGAGGCCTGGAAAGATGGCTCAGTGATTAAGAGCACTGACTGCCCTTCTGGAGAACCTGGGTTTCATTCACAGCACCCACATGGTAACCATCTGTAGGTCCAGTTCTAGGGCATTCAACACCGTCTTCCAGCCTCTGCCAGCACTAGGCACCAGGTGTGCACATGGAACACAGACTGGCATGCAGTCAGAATACCCATATACATGAATACAAAATTTTAAAGACCAATAATCAATAGAAAGGACCTCATAAAACTAAAATGCTTTGTACAGCAAAGAACACCATCATTCAAATGAAGAGGCAGCTTATACAAAATGGGGAAGAATCTTTATCTCTGACAGAATATCTAGAATACACAAACTCAAAAAATTAAAATCAAGATACAACTCAGTTTTTAAAAGACTGGCATAGAACTAAGCAGAGAGTTGTCAAAAGGTGAAATAGAAATGGCTGTGAAACTGTTTTTTTATTTTATTTAATCTTTCTGTTTTACACTCCAATTTTTATTCTCCTCCCAGTCTGCCCTCAGACTATTCCACATTCTATACCCCCACTCCCCTGTCTCCCCCACCCCACCCCCACCCCACCAGACCTCTAAACTCCCTGTGGCCTCCAGTTTTTTGAGGGTTAGGTGCATCTTCTCTGACTAAACCCAGACCAGGCAGTCCTCTGCTGTATGTTAGGGACCTCATATCAACTTGTGTATGCTGCCTGGTTGCTGGCTCAGTGTCTGAGAGATCTTGAGGGTTGAGATTGAGACTGCTGGTCCTCCTACAGGGTCGCTCCTCAGCTTCTTCCAACTTTTTCCTAATTCAGCCACAGAGGTCAGCAGCTTCTGTCCATTGGTTGGCGGCAAATATCTGCATCTGACTCTTTCAGCTGCTTGTTGAGTCTTTTGAAGGGCAGTCATGATAGGTCCCTTTTTGTGAGCATTTCATAGCCTCAGTAATCGTGTCAGGCCTTGGGGCCCCCTTGAGCTGGATCCCACTTTGGGCCTATCGCTGGATCTCCTTTTCACTTTGTTTTATAATGTTCAATAACCAAAAGCCATCAGCAAAATGCAAATTAAAACTACTTTGAGATTACCCTAGTTTGTATAGAAAATATTTTTTAAAAAAAGATTAAAAAAAGCTGGTATGGATGTGAGGCAGAGGAATATTTATTTGTGGTTGATGGACATGCAAACCGGTGCGGTCACTGTAGAAATCAGTATAGAGATTACCAAAGAAGCTAAACTAGATTTACCACATGGTCCACCTATACCAATCTTGGGCATATACCCTAAAAGACTCTATAGTCTAACATAGTGATGCTTATTTATTCATGTACACTATTGCCCTAGCCACAATAGCCAGGAAATGCAAACAGCCTAGGTGTCTGTCAGGTAATGAATGAACAATGAAATGTGGTATATTTACACAGTGGAATACTTATCAATTAAGAAAAATAAAATCTGCCCCCCTGTCATCAGGCAAAGAGACACCTTGTTGGTGGCGTTATTCTTACATCTGGCAAGGGCAGAGCAGATGGCAGTCCTTTGTTCATTCTAGCTTGATGTTTGGCTTGGTAGCCAAAGCTATCTTATGCCTAAGATTCATAAGAATCAAATCCAATCAAATCTAGGCAGCACAGCACAGCACAGGAGTAGGAAGACAAAGACCTGCCCTCCAACGCCCAGCATAGGCAGGCCATAGACATCCACGCGCCACCATGCCACATGTACAGATGGAGGATGTCACCCAGGGGCCCACCAGTGTGTGGCCAGCCTGCAGTGAGAGCCACCACAATGTGCAAGTAAGCGGTGGTCAGATGGGAGAGACAGAAATGAAGCCTCTTGAGCATTATGAAGAGAGATGGAACTGGAGACTCAAGGGTGGAGAAGAGTAGCTTGTTGTGAGTGGCCATCCCTGCCACATGGGGCCATGGTGAGGTCCCAGCCCGAGCTGCCACTGAATGCCGTGTCTGAGTTCAAGGCGACGCAGCAGCATGAGTCGGTGTCCATGTCCTTGGTCCATATTACCACTAGAGAACATGGGGATGTCCCTTGTTAGGGCAGCCACCAGGGACCACGTGGATGTTCAGGGGCCGTGCATAACTGGTCTTTCCTCTCCGTGGATGCAGTGCTCTGGAGAGCTGGCCCTATCTCTCACCCGGGCAGCACAATAGAGCTGGTCCCCGAAGTGAGTGTGGGAGAGCTGACCCTGCCTGCCACTCATCTGCTGTGCGCTGCACAGGAGTAGAGTTGAAGCCCCCACCACCACTACCTCCAGCAATCTGGAAAGCTGCCCACGGGGTCATGAGTTTGGAAGAGCCAGCCCTGCCCCTCACCAGCCGCACTTGAGAGAGCGGCGGCCCTTGCACCTCGACTGGACAGCACAGTAGGGAGTGAACAGGAGCCAGTGAGCCAGCCTGGAAGACAGAGCAAGGGAGAGATGGCCCTGACACTTGCAGGCTGTAGCAGTTCGAGACCTTGACTGGGCAGCACAGTGGTGCTGTCTCAGGAGGCACAGGTGTAGGTGAACTGTCCCTGAGGGCATAAGGGCAGGAGAGGTGACCCTGCCTCTTCCTGATGGCTGCATTGAGTGGCCTAGCCAGAGCAATGCCGGAGAGCTCACCTTGGTGGTACGGATAAGGGAGAGCAGGTAGGCTGACCAGCTCAGGTCCAGGGCTCTGAATTGGCCCACTCCAAAATCTACATCATCTGTGGACAGGTTGGGACCAATGAAAGGACCAGTCTTGCTGATTCAAAGCTACAGGATCTCCATCACACTAGGGCAACAACAGTGTAACCAGGAGAAGTCCTGATGAGGATCCAATATTGATGGTGTCACAGACTCATTGCAATAAACATTTGCAAGCGAAGAAGTGTGGAAAGCTAAAAATAATGTCTGCCCTGGCAAAACAAGCACATGTGAAAAAGTGGTGATGTGACATGAGCGTGACCAATCACTTTCTAATTGGATTTAATTCTATTCACCAAGACAATGGGCACCATTGTCAAGTCAATAATATACCGTTAGATAGGTCATAGACTCTGGGGAAGAACATACTGGTATTATTCTTCTAAGTGGACATAGCATCAAATCAACTCCTAATTGCTCACCATTATAACCGTAGACTAATGTATGTCTCATCATCACAGCAATTGATTTGCCTCTATTTTCATAAAAAGCACACGAAGTTGGTGGATTGGAAAGGGGGGACAGAACAGAAAGAAGCTGGAGGAGGGTTTTATCATTATTATTATTATTATTATTATTATTTATTATTATTATTTCTGCAAGAACATCAAGCCATCTCTGTAGATCTACAGAATTTTAAATAAGATTAATAAACTCCTTTAAAACAAAGATGCAATGATTGTTTTGAATCAACACTCAAGAACTGAGATCTGAAAGGAATTATAATCTTATAAAAGTCAAGTGTTAAAGTACAAATGTGATTTTGTTCACTTGATTGTGATACTAGGGATGGAATCCAGGCCCTACACATGCTGGCAAGAGCTCTTTACACTGAGCTGTAGCTTGTGCTATATGCTTTTAATAGTATAAATCGCTGAGACAAAATACAAGAAAGTTATCAATATAGGATTACTGGAAGGTGTTTTTTAAGCATTTGTAATTTTAGCTTTCAATCAGGAGTCTCTTTAGCTTTATTTTACACTATAATTCTCATGTAATAGCTACCCTTAAACTATGAAAGATACAGTCCTCTCAGGAAAAAGAAAATGAGTCAAATGTTTGAGAAATAATGTATATGAAGTCTGGTGATTCTATGAAGAACAGCATAAAATTAAAATAAGTTTTAAAAAAAAGTTTCCTGACATTTGGAAAAAATGCCATTCCCTGTGAAGACTGATTGTCAGGTCCTAGGACTGCTCTTGGGAGTTTCAGCAGATGTGGTTGGAAAAGGACTCTCCACCCCTTCTCACTCTGCTGAAGTTCTTAGCAGAGCTAGAGTCTCATGCTTATCCATCTATCAAACATCTGGCAATAATCTGGCAAATACGTATTTGTACAGAGTCTGCTCTTTGCAACTACCACAGTACAAGAATTACATTTAAATAGGAATTATGAAAACCACATGTAAGTGCATAAAGAACTAAAGGAAAGGTTGATCCTTGCCCCCAAGTCAACAGAACACAAGCACTGCAGATGAAAGTGCTGGGTGGGCACTCTAGTAACATCCAGATGACACATAAGAAAGTAAGGTGCAGAACAGAACTCCAATGGCATATGCTCTAAGATCGAGAATTGACAAATGGGACTTCATAAAATTGCAAAGTTTCTGTAAGGCAAAGGACACTGTCAATAGGACAAAACGACAACCAACAAATTGGGAAAAGATCTTTACCAATCCCTCATCTGATAGAGGGCTAATATCCAATATATACAAAGAACTCAAGATATTAGACTCCAGACAACCAAATTACCCTATTAAAAAATGGGGTATAGAGCTTAACAAAGAATTTTCAACGGAAGAAACTCGAATGGCCGAGAAGCATCTAAAGAAATGTTCAGCATCCTTAGTCGTCAGGGAAATGCAAATCAAAACAACCCTGAGAGTCCATCTCACACCAGTCAGAATGGCTAAGATTAAAAACTCAGGTGATAGTAGATGCTGGCGAGGGTGTGGAGAAAGAGGAACACTCCTCCATTGTTGGTGGGACTGCAAGATGGTGCAACCACTTTGGAAATCAGTCTGGCGGTTCCTCAGAAAATTGGACATAGCATTACCTGAGGATCCAGCTATACCACTCCTAGGCATATACCCAGAAGATGCTCGAACATATAATAAGGACATATGCTCAACTATGTTCATAGCAGCCTTATTTATAATAGCCAGGAGCTGGAAAGAACCCAGATGTCCTTCAACTGAGGAATGGATTCAAAAAATGTGGTATATTTACACAATGGAGTATTACTCAGCTATTAAAAACAATGAATTCGAGAGGTTCCTAGGTAAATGGATGGAACTAGAAATTATCATCCTGAGTGAGGTAAGCCAATCACAAAAGAACACACATGGTATTCACTCACTGATTATTGGATATTAGCCTAGAACCTTGAAATGCCCAAGATGCAACTCACAGGCCACATGAAGCCCATAAAGAAGGAAGACCAAGTGAGGGTGATTCGGTCCTTCTTAGAAGGAGCAACAAAATACTCAAGGGAGCAAATATGGAGACAAAGTGAGGGACAGAAACTGAAGGAGGGGCCGTCTCAAGACCACTCCACCTGAGTATCTATCCCATGTGCAATCACCAAAGGTAGATGCTGATGTGGAAGACAGGAAGTGCATGCTGATAAGAGCCTGATATGGATATCTCCTCAGAGGCCTTCAAGAGTCAGACATATTCAGAGGCAGATGCTCACAACTAGCCATTGAACTGATCATGGGGTTCTCAATAGAGGAGTTAGAGTGAAGACTGAAGGAGCTGAAAGGAGAGCAACAATACCAACCAACCACAGCTCCCAGGGTCTAAACCACCAGCCTGGGAGCACTTAGGGGGGGATCCAGGGCTTCAGCTGAATATGTAAAAGTGGAGGGCCCTGCTGGGCATAGGTGGAAGAAGAAAACCTTGACCTCATGAAGGCTGGATGCCCCAGGGGGTGGGAATTTTGAGGGTGGGGAGGTGGGAGTGGGGGGGGGTAGATAGAGGTTACATCCACAGAGAAGAAGGAGGAGGGGCGAGGGGATTGGGGGTTCCGAGGGGGCGGTGGGGGATGGGGTAAGGGGACAACATAGGAAATGTAAATAAATCATCCAATAAAAAAAAAAGAATAAAAAAAAAAAGAAAGTAAGGTGCAAGGGCCAGGCACTCGGACTTTATAGATCCACAGATTACACCAAGAAAGGCTATCACTTGTTCCTCTAGGTAAAGCTCTGGGGTTGGAAGCTATGGGCATATGGGAGCATACCTTTCCCTCCCTAGCTTCTACTGTACCAAAGCAAAGAACCAGAGGCACAAGAAAAATCTAAAACTAAGATTTTTACTATTCTAGCAAAAAACTTAAAATCTCAATGTAGATGAATATTGATTTGGGGGCACAGTGTCTTACTGAAAAAGCAAAATTCACTTCAACTGTGGAGAACCACATTTGCTATGCACTGGGCTAAACAGACAGTTGAAGCTATCTAAAGAACACTGGTTCCCAGTGAACATACAGACAGTAAAGAAGTCTGCATTTTTTGTAAAAACAAAAAAGCAAAGAAACAAACAAAAAACAACAAAAAATCAATAGTGTAGACTGAGAACATATATTTTGATGAGATAATAAATGCATAATTCTTTTCATTCTTTCAGGGAATATTTTATCGAAAAGGTGTTCTGTTGTGATTGGTCAGTAGGTCAGTAGGTCAGTTGGTTGGATGGTCAGTTGGTTAGCTGGTTGATCAGTTGGTTGATTGGTTGGTTGGTGGGTTGGTTTTTCAGAGAGTTTTCTACTATACAGTCCATTCTAGCCTTGGAACTGTCCTGTCTGCAATCCAGACTAGCCAGGAACTTGCAGCCTTCCTACCCAGCCTCCTAAATCCTGGGATTACAGTCATACAACATCATGCTTAGCTGAGAGACAATTTATTAAATGGTACAGAATC